AAACTTGTCTGCAAATGCTCTAAATTTAGTGACCACCATGAGATATGTTTTCAAAATTTCGTACAGTTGGCTAAAATTGTAATGCATTGAGGTACAGGGGTTGGACAAAAATGTGGAGACACCTTTAAAAAACATGTTTCTTTGCTTAATATGGTGTAGGAAACCCGTTGGCATCCAAAACAGCTTGCAGTCTTCTCGGAATGGATAAATACAGTTCCTGTATGTTTGCCAAGGGAATATTATACCATTCTTCCTGCAAAACGGTGGCAAGTTCAGATAACGATGTTGGCGGTGGATAACGAGAACGCACTTTCCGTTCCAATGTAGACCACAAAGGTTCGATAATATTCAGAGATCTGGTGACTGTGGTGGCCAGGGGAGATGGGACAACTCATCCTCGTGCTCAGAAAACCAGTCCTGGACAATGTGAGCTGTGGGAACAGGGGCTTTGTCGTCTTGGAAGACACCATCACCATCGGGGACAAAGTTTGTACCATGGGATGAACTTGATCGGCCAAAATGTTCACATAAGTCTTGGCAATCATGTGCCCTGACACAGTTACCATGGGGCTAGCAGAGAACCACGATATGGCTGCCCAAACCATAATAGAATCCCCGCCATGTTTCACTCTTGGCAACAAGCAGTCTGTATTATAGGCTTGAGATGGCGTTCTCCAGACGTAAACTCGGCCAGAAGTGGGAAACAATGTGAAAGAAGACTCGTCAGACTATATTACTCGCTTCCACTGCGCTATAGTTCAGGCTTTATGACTTAAACACCACCTTTTCCTGTTACGGGCATTAGCATCACTGATGAGTGGCTTCTCAATTGCAGCACGGCCAGCAATTCCCTGTTTATGAAGCTCCCTTCTAATTGTTTGGGTACTCACAGGGTCCGGTAACACAACATTCATTTCAGCAGTAACTTTTGCAGCTGTGGTCTTCTTATTTTTCGTCACAATTGCCCTTAATGATCGTCTGTCACGATCACTCAGGACACACTTTTGTCCGCACTGTGATTTAGCAGATGATGTTTTTCCGCTTTTCAAATATGCGGAATAAATCTTGGGTACAGTACTTCTTGAAACACTAAACACCTCGGCTACCTTGCTTACGGAAGCACCTACCATACGTGTTCCAACAATTTGCCCACGTTCGAAATCTGTTAACTCTGACACAATGCAATGACAACCTCACATAATAGTACTCCGACAACAACTGAACTGTTTAGCACATTTACGAAGTTGTATAGGTGGTGTCAGTAGTCAAAAACGCCAGCACCACCTACATTTTCATTAAAATCAATCTTTCTTTTCAAACATGCATTTCACAAGGTGTTTCCATCTTTTTGTCCATCCACTGTATCTGTCTATAGTTGAATGCTAGAATGCTGCTTTAGCTTTTCCTTTCCGCAAGTGTACATGGATTGGCATTTATTTCTTGTGTGGCAATGATGAATTTCATTGCCATTGGCATTTATTTCTTGTGTGGCAATGATGAATCACCTACACTTTTTGTTAGTCCAAATGCAGCTTTGAAAGATTGATTACACACGGCAGTTAAGCTACCATATTTGGAATCTAAATTTATACCGTTTGACTTTCTTGGTAGCAAAAACTGGCATCAAACTCCTGACAGACTTGGAGTGGATTATCGCTTCGTCTGAAAAGTACTGCAGAGTCTTGAAAAAAATTTTAAAAGAATTTTTTTTTAAAATTAGACTCTTAAACATAAACGCACGACACGTGATTAATAAACAGCCTGCGCTGCTTGTGGTAAGAAAACTTAAAGTAACAGTCAAATTCAAATTTAAAACTAAGTCTAGAAGTCAAAGAGTTTGTTGTTATGCAAATTGTATTCTTTGTTAGGGTTTTAAGCGAGCGTTTGCAGCTTCAAGTTTGGACTTCCCACGAGGTAAAAACTCTTTGAGATGCGCTACTAGAGGTTTTGCTGTGTTCTGTCACCGTTCATCAGCCAATGGGATGTTTCAATGCCAATACAAAGATTCAGTCAAGATTATTATTCTGAAGTTATTGAAGTTATACTAAGGTAATCGCAAGTCACCTTACAGTCCACTTTACATGAACAACGGAACAGATACAAACTGATCTGTGGTGTATTTAATTATGGCAAAGCATACTAGGGCTATCTGCCTAAGGGGAGGGATGCCTTCGTGGAGGACTTTCTAAGGGAAACTGGCTCGTATACATGTTACACATGGGGAAAACCACGAAAACACCCATGCAGCCAGCCCGTTCGCGGGATTCGAACCTCGGGACCGAACTACCAGTGTTCAGCGACTTTACCGCTCGGCCGCTGGTGGGCTCCACAAACTGATTTAACGCGAAGTTGGCTCAAACTGCTGTCTGGCGTCGCAATTTAAATGTCGGCAGCAATAACGCAAAGTCGAAGAATTACAGTCTCATCAGAGCTATCGAAACCCAATAACAAGCGTGCTTTGTTTTACTGCCCCAAACCCCTGACTTAAATACTGTCAAACTGATTTGCATTCTGGTGAGAAACGGAAATAAGCGGTTAATTCAAATAAAAATAACCTTAAAAAATTTATAATAAAATTATTTAAACCAATTTATAGGAATTCTGCCTATAAAATTGGAATAAAATTTAATGATTGCACTGAATTTGTTTGCATGAAAACAAGATAAATAAGATAAAATGTTAAAACTCCGTCTTTACGATTCGTGCAACAAACCGGAATTCAGTAAGAAAAAGCGGGTATCAGATAACAACTTAAAGTTGGTTTAAGACTGGATTATTTAATTTAGATAAAGCGTACCAAGATTATCTGTTTATATTCCGTCCTCCAACTTTTGATTGAGCTGCTTCCTAAGGTTAGAAGATTCCTTTTTTCTTATTCAAGCAACACAGAGTTTAAAGATGAGGAATTCATTATCTAAAAACATCAACTGATGTACTTTCTGTAGTTCTCTGAATGCAAAATGAATTAATTATTATTTAAAAGTAATTATTATTTTAAATTAATTCAATTAATTATTATTTCGTTAATAAATTAATGTTCTCAAACACAAGATAGTTCATGGTGGTAGAGTTTAGGTACATACTCTGAATGAAGTTCTCTGAATGCAAAATGAATTAATTATTATTTAAAAATAATTATTATTTAAAATTAATTCAATTAATTATTATTTCGTTAATAAATTAATGTTCTCAAACACAAAATAGTCCATGGTAGTAGAGTTTAGGTACATACTTAATCTAGAGTTAAATTGAGTAAATTGTATTATGTTTCACAGCACACGCAATATACTAATTTTCCTTCTCAAGGCGGAAAAAAAAGGAATTCTACTTTTTAATGCCTTGGCTGATATGTGCAGCAAGAAAGGTCATTTGTGATGCTACGTTAGGGATGAACAACTTTCAGATGACGCACGGAAATGTTTTATGGGTAACTGCAGTTTTTCGTGAGAGATATTTTAACAATAAAATACTACTCCATAAAATTCTAATTTATCTAGCTCACTGTGTCAGTCTAAAGCAGACAGTATTAAATTCGCGTGCAAGTGAGGGGGGGGGAACCAATAACAGAGCTTTCTGAAGTTCATGTTATTTCATTTCATCTTTGTTTTTATGCGTCAATGGCAATGATATTGAAACATTTTAGAGCTTGTGTATTTCTTAAAAAAGCTTAACTGCAACATATTAAAAAAAACACGTACCTTCTTTAGTTCCAATGTTTTTATTTTCCTATTTTGTACTATTTTAACAACCGGTCGCGTGAACTTTTGGCGCACAAGAAATAACTGCCGTCTAGAAGACTGACTGCTGTTTAATTTTTTTTTTTTTTTTTTTTTTTTTTTTTTTTTTTTTTTTTTTTTAAGGAATGCTAACGAAACTTTGTTATAGCTGGCCGTAAACTAAATTTAAACATTTGTTATTTGTTAATGATATATTAAAGAGGCAGATGATTTATAAAGGAGATAATCTTACAGGCAGCACCTAACCTAGAGGTTTAATTCTAATTGAGGCTGTTACGTTATATGAATCAAAGAATATGTGCCTGAAAGATAGTATCAAAGAAATTTGATGCAAAAATTTTCTATTTTTACTTGAGTTTTTATATAGTTTGAAATTATAATTTAATCTGTCAGTTTATCATTCATACCAATCAAGAGCCCAGGTTTAAGATCTGTAGAAAAAATTACATTAGTTTCTTTTTTTTTTTTTTTTTTTTTTTCCCACAATTTTTTTCCTTATAAGTGTGTATTCAAGAAATAATTTTTTTTTTGAAATTTAAATAAAATACTAAATCAAATAATAAATAATTTTAGTACATATTACATAAAATAGTGTTAGAATAATTAAAATATTTTGTTTTTCTTCAGCTTTGATTCATGTATTTTTATTAATTTAGGTTTTAAACGACGTACATTTCTCGAAAACTGTAAATTACAAAATAAATTGTGTTATAGTTTTCTGGCTTTGTGTAATTTTACGAAAAATCAGATATCAGATTGCACAAAAAAAAAAAAAAAAAAAAAAAAAAAAAAAAAAAAAAAAAAAATTAAGATTCAAAGATTTTTTTTATGAGTCCATTTCAGAGATCCACGTGAAAAAGTTTGGTAAGTAAGATTGAAAAAAGCCTCTGCATATTTTTTTCTTGTCGGTAATCATTAAGTGCCGAAAGAGTTTAGAAGTTTTTGAATCATAATAATTTACCCTATTCCTTTCTTGCAGCACTCTTGCCTTCCTTTTAATGAATACTTCTTATGATTCTTGTACTTACTTTTTTTTTTTTCCAATAGATTGTTGAGTGCTTTTCATAACAATCGATGATCTCTAATGACTATAATAATGCGATTGATAATATGATCGAAAAGTAAGGAAAAGGAGTGATAGATTCCCTTAGTGCTAAGTGACCCATCCTAACCTGCTATTTTTAACAATTATCACTTAAAAAAATGTAGAAAGAATGCGGTATTTGATGTGTTTTTAACCCGTGTTTTGATTTCCTCCCGCAGACTGGCTCCTTCTATGTTGACGACACGAGGCAGGCAACCTGCAACTCCACTCAACCCACTCTCCGATGATGATTATTGGCCGCCTACGGCGGGTTGCAGAAACTAGGAATGCTCGCCATTCAGATTAGGATAGAGCTACAGTCAGTGCCACAGCAGCTGGACGCACAACCGGTCTCTTCGTTGCCAGAACCCAAAACTAGAAAACCAGGACTCTCTGAGTTCTGCTTTCTGCCTCTGGGTTTGCAGAGGACCCAGCGGTATGCGGGAAGCACGCGTGGCGGCGTTTTAACCTCGACATCGTGTTCCACCTTAAGTCATCAATAATTTTGTGGTTCATAATTCTGAACTTGCTTAACCTCAAGAAAAGTCCAAAACTGAATAAAGGCCTAAGTATTTGATGATCTAGCCGCCTTAAAATTACTGTTTCGGTTTCCTACTGCCATATTTATATTTTGGAATATCTTCTTTGTATGCTGTGTTAAACTACTCGTAGAAAGTGAAGGATTATTACGACAAGTTGGCTCTATGTTTTGACGTTGTGCCCTGTGTCATATTTGTCACATCCTGCCAAAACTTCGAGCTTACAAGAACAAAGGAGACATTTTTTCTGGATTATATTTAATACTGATTACATTCTTTATAGTGTATTCTACAGTTTTCACATACTTAAGAGCATTTCGTAGATATATTTCAAACGCAACTATAACTTACGCAGAACTTCCACTGATTTTAATATAAAGCAAGTGTGTTACATCATTTGTATTGTGAATTAAATTAGGTTCATTGGAATATTATCAGTATCAAAATTATGAATGAATTTTATCTGTATTGTGCTTGTGTAATCTTAATATTCTGATAAAAGACGTCAACTGTATCAGTTTAATAACAGAATGGCTTTCCGAGGAGGAAAGCGAAAGGATGTTAAAAAACAATCTTATTATGTATGGTTTCTTGGTGCTAAAGAAAGCAAAGGTTTAAGAGGGGAAGAATATATTAGGCCGGTCTTAAGACACTTGGTGGATAAAGAACGTGAACTGGAGCCTATGAAAGTGACTCTTCAGGTGAGTACAAAAGGTATAAAGATTATACAGAATGTACCCCGAAAGAACAATAAAGGAAAAACGGAACAAATTAAACACTTTATACCACACCATGCAATTACGTGCGTAATGCAAGAATCCAAGCCTAATGACGATGTGGTATGCTGTATTTTGCTCATCTACAACCCTCTCACAAAATGTCCAGTTCATGTGCATGCTTATCGATGTGATTCCGTTGAGACCGCTAGCACTCTTCGCTCACAGCTACAAATCTTGATTGATCGGCCAGAGAAAAAATTTCGAGAAATAGAAAACAGGTTAGCTGCCAAAGGCCTTTTGCCATCTCGAGGCCAGAACTCTGATGGCAGGTCTACAAGGACTGATGGCTCAGACAGAACAGAAGACTCATCTGGGGGTAAGTTTTAAAATTATTCTTAAATATTAGTATTCATATGTAATTCAAATCTAAATGTTTTTTGTGTACATTTTATGAAGGGGAGGGAAAGCACGATTTAGAATTTAAAAACACGCCAGGATGTTTCACTTTAGGCATGCAATTCTTGTTTAGTTTGGCAGTCGCGTTTATTCTTTGGATCTAATATTAACCGGAAATTCTAAATTATAAGAATGGAATACTTTTTTACTGTTAGCAAGAATAAAACAATTTACAATCCCTTCTTTCATCCTTATAAAATAACTGATATAATTATAATGCACTGGAGTCGTGTATTTAGGGGTCTGTAATATGGGGGGGGGGGTAATCATCATGTTTATACCCTGGACGATAATCTATACCAAAGTATAGAAAGCATCGAATATTTTGTAAAACTATTCATTTTACTTAAATTAATTCAATTATCTCAGCATCTTGACAGTTAAAGAAGGATTTTATTCGAAATCCGTAATAAAAATGCTTTATAATAACTTCAGTAAGATTTAAAAAATATATATATATGACATTCATTGGGAGATAAAATGCACAAAACCGCGGTTTGCAAGAAGTAGAAGAAAAAAGAGTGTAATTTAATATTTTTTAGAATCTAAAGCCTTTAAAAATCATTAAGATAAAAAATTTATATTCTTCGTTAGGTGGAAATTTGATTCGGATAACTCTATTCAGTCATATTGAATTCAATTAATATATAATCGGGGGGGGCTTTTCTTTCTTTTTTTTTTTTCAGTCTGCAAAATTTAGTAAAATTGTTTCAATAATTTTTGGCAAGACTGTTGGCGAATTTCAGGCTTAAATTAAAACGGTAAATTTTACATAGACTTTGATCTAGTTCTAACAGTTTCCTTCCAAGTTAAAGTGAATAATTCTTACATTACTTTTATTGGTTAATCTTTGGATTATGGTAACTTGGCGATTTTTTCCCGAAAATTTGGCGACTAACCCCGCTACAGCAACCTGCTAGTTTTTTTTTTTTTTTTTTTTTTTTGATGCCATTTTGTTTTCACGAAGTAAAGACTTTTTAACTCAGCATTTTTTTCAAACAATCTGCTAGCCGAATTACGCTTATACTAGAACTTTTATAGAACAAAAGTGCTTAATCATGACGAAGATTAGGTGCGAAATTGGGAGAAAGTGCAGAATCGTCCACTGCTTGCCGCGTTTTTAAGAATTGCACATACACAGTATCCATGTACACGTCGACCTATTTTCAGTTAAAAAAACATCTCAGAATTGCACAAACTCTTGACTTTATCCATGTACACTGCTAAAGTCCTAGCTAGTAACCTTTATCGCCTTACCAAAATGTCGCCAAACTACCTGTTACCATATTCCAAAGATTAGCCCTTTTGGTTTTTATGTTATTCAAATATCGATGAAGATGCAATCTGGTCTTACTCTTGAACTCATTTGAAGTCCATTAAAAAAAATATGTGACCCATATGCGTAGTTTTGAGAGGTATACTATTTTAAAAGCTTTGCCAACAACTTCTTGGAATAAATTCCTCTCAAACGTAACTAAATTATACGTATAAAACGAATAACTAATAGCCATTTCATAACGTAACGTATTTTCATTTTGAGTACTATGAAATGGAACTGGAAGTGCCGTTTTTTAACCGAAAGGGCTATTAATTTCGTTTTGGAATTTTGCATTGAAAACTTTAAATGTCCATTTCACTTTTCAAATTGTTGCCACCCAATATTAAAGCCCTGTGTTATGTTTAAAGAAATTAAGTAATGAAGAATCTGCATAAATGTATGTATGTTTTTCGCATTGTGATAAAACAGCGATACCTAGAGACATAAAATTTTGAATAACGTGCGTCTCCACCCGAATATGAGCATCTGGAAGGTCCGAATCTGGAATTTGTTTTATTATCTATTTCGTAAAGTATTTATGAGTTTTTGATTAAGAAACTCAACGATTTCAAAGCGAGCAATGGCATATCTGCAGAGGGGTAAATACATTTTTTATCTTTAGAGCGCGAGACTGTGTATCGAAAATTCTAAAGATATGCTCTTCTTAAATTATTTTTCGATATTACTGTCGAATTGAATTTTAGAGTTTAAGTGCGAAGAACATGATATTTAATAAATAAAGCTAAAACACAAAATGATAAAAAAACGCCCCTATGGGCGTGATATAAATTCTGAAAGATTTCAGATTTTTATATATATTTTATTTCTAATCAACTCTAGAAGAGTGGCAAGCACATCAGCAATAAAACGCCGGCACCGATAATGGGACTCCCTGACTCTCCACAAGTTACAATTTACATCGTCATGGCAATTTAACTGTCAGTGAAACAAAGAATAGTAGAAAATAAAATTTACTCTATATCTGAGCAAATGTTTTTGTGAATAAAATATAAATATGAATTATATGTTATTTAACAGGAATAGGGTTTTTTTATGTCCATATTCTGTTATCGCTGAGAGAAATTATTAAAGAAAGAGGTACTATTCTGTTTTGAGGACCATAAAAAAAAAAAAAAATTGCAGCGAAAATGTATGCGCAAAAGCGCCAAATCTAGCAAACGCGCTGATTTCAGATTGCCTAAGTTTATATAGTTCTATATTTCTTAAGACGCCATTGAAATACTAGTTTAATTTTTATATCCTTTTTTAATTTTAAATCCTTTTTTGATATCCTATGGATTTAACAATTAGGGAATGGCCCATGACGAAAAATCTGCAATAGAATTTTGGGTAAAGTGCAGAATCGCTCACTGCTTGATGCGTTTTCAAGAATTGCACATACTCGGTATCCATGTACACAACGACCTATTTTCACTTTTAAAAAAAATCCCAGAATTGCACAAAAATGGCACTGCGCACACCCTGACTTTATCTATGTACTCATCGGCCTATTTTAGCTTAAAAAGTAAAAAAAAAAAATTGACAAAAATCCAATTGTTTTTACCCTTGTAAAAAACGGCAAACAAATAAGTGGATGATTCTGCACTTTAACCGAGAATTTTTTCAAAGAAAAGGCATCATAATGCTTAATAAGAAAATCTGTGATAAATGATTCAGGGCTAAAATTATAAGATGAAAATCGCAAGCTAGAACTGCACTTGGATTTAATATTTGTTTACCTAATCTTTGATTTTCTTAAACAAAAAAAAATTCCGTAAGTGTTGGAAAAAATCTAGATGAGCTCAAGTTTGTATTCTTAGTAATGTAGCAACTACTCTCGTTATTCAAATTTTGGTTAAAATTTAAAAAAAAATCTGAATTATGTTTTTACCAACTGAAGCCATTCGATGAATGTTTGCCGCATTCTTCAGTTATATTTAGCGTTTTATTTCTGCTAGACTCTTGTTTTTCACCATCGTGTCCGAACAATCGCCGAGCGTAACAGATTAGCCAGCGTGATGACCATCGTTCTAAATTCGGAATAGGCAATTTTTCCTTTCCTCAGAACAGCAGCCAAGCGAAGATTTTCAACCCTCGTGTATTAATGAATCGGAGACTGAAACTTCGAGCCTGATTGTATACCTTTCTAAGGTGACTGTTTCTCAAATCCTATTGTTTTCGTAGGTGTTTTGTCTGGCACAGCAAACCTGAACGGAAACAATGAATTGCGTGGATAATTTCATATTATGTAAAACGCTTCAATTGAAATATCGTATAAATGGAGGAGGAAAACCTTTTTGTGCAGTGAGACAACGCTGAGAGCTTTATATTATTAATTCAACCAAATTCGTAACCAAAGTTTGTAGAAAAAGTTCTCAGAAGAGTGCCATTTAAAACCTACGATAATTGACTATCCGGCGCCCGCCGTTACACCGCCAACAAACTATTGGCGACTTTTGGTAACAAAATATATACTAGACATTGGTAGATCGATTAAACAGATTCTTTTATTTTCGGCGGGAATTATTTCGTAGTCGCATTCAAATTGCATCTAAGAGACTGTTATCCTTCCAGCTTGTCTTTGCCTTTCCGTGAACTATTATTTAAATGCGAAGGCAAGTAACTTCCCTGAGACCAGTTCCCAGTCCTTATTCTTAACAATTTGCCGGCAACTGTTAACATTATATTTCTATCGTACATCTTCAGTCAACTACACTTTTGTTGAGCGAGAATTGGAACATTCGTGCTTATTTGGCAAAATACTCATGTCTGTCTATACCACATTGCTTCTGCTTCATTTTTCAGCAAATTTAATAAACGCAAAATGCAGTAAAAATTAACACGAAATGAAAAACTTTTTTCTCGAGCCTTTCGCAGAATAAAGGGTTATGATACATTGCGGATATGCGCGTAATCTAATTAATTTGAAGTTGATGTCGAAATAATAAAAAAAAATAATTAAAATAAAATAAAATGTGAAAACTTTCAGATTTTAACGTTTTTTGTGTTAACCTTATTTATTAAGTAGTATCACGTTCTTCGCACTTAAACTACATAAAATACAATTAAACAACAATATCACAAAATATTTAAAAACAGCATGTCTTTAGAATTTCCGATAGACAGTCTCGCGCGCTGAATTTAAAAGTATTATTATGCCTACAGTGTCGCCATTGCTCGCTTTGAAATCATTGAGTTTGTTAATCAATAATTCGTTAAAAGTTTTACAAAATATGAAATAGATTCCGGCTAATCTTTGGAATATGGTAACAGGTAGTTTGGCGTCATTTTGGTAAGGCGATAAAGGTTACTAGCTAGGACTTTAGCAGTGTACATGGATAAAGTCAAGAGTGTGCGTAATGCCATTTTTGTGCAATTCTGAGATTTATTTTTTATTTATTTTTTTTAAGTGAAAATACGTCGACGTGTACATGGATACCGTGTATGTGCAATTCTTAAAAACGCGGCAAGCAGTTGCGATTCTGCACTTTCTCCCAATTTCGCACATAATCTTCGTCATGATTAAGCAGTTTTGTTCCATAAAAGTTCTAGTATAAGCGTAATACGGCTACCAGATTGTTGGAAAAAAATTAAAAATAATA